GTCAACATAATACTACTTACAGTATTATTGTCATTTCGACCACAACCTTGGGGCAGTGGGGTAGTCTAAGGTTAAAGCAGTGGCTCGTCACGCTGAAGACCCGGGTTCGAATCCCCACATGGGTACAATGTGTGAAGCCCATTTCTGGTGTCCCCCGCCATGATGTTGCTGGAATATTGCTAAAAGCGGCTTAAAACCAAACTCAGTAAGTCGACCACAACCTCGCTTCCGAGGAAGAAATCGTTATGTTACAAGCTGTGTCATGGAAAATCTTTATGGTCATCAATCATAAACATATTTTACTATATTTTACTATAACTAGTAAGTAGTCTTGATTCTTTAACTTCCGTGAAGCGAACTTAATACAAGTAAGATATCGTTTCAGGCTTCCACAACGCTCGCTTCGCACTCACAAACATAACCCATTTAGCACGAACTGCGGGGTCCTGTGAAAATCTGTGCATGGCAACACCATGGCCCGACCCCTAGGAGCAATTGACGACAACACAACGATTCGGCATGTCTTCGTTGATGTCGAGAAATCATCAAAATGATGAGCTTGCTACACACATCGTATACAACTAACTGAAAATCCTTCCTCATATGATGTCACTGAAGTGCTCTGGCGACAGAGTTACGTAACCGGTCTGTGGTTTCATTGGCAGTCGAGAGTGAAGCAGGCAACTTTTGGCAACTTTTAATCGCTCGGTACTAATTAACCACAAGTTTTTTAAGAATGAATTTGGTGTTCCGCATAAGACTAACTAGTTTATTTGTTCTTTAAGAAATTCTTCAAATACCTTTTAAGTAGAGTGCACTTTCATGTATAATGCACACCCAGCTTCAAGTAATTCAGTATTGGGGAAAAGTGTTGAGTACAAGTCACAGACAAATAGGTACATTGTATCCCATCTGTGATTTCAGGTATCAATGAACATGCATTAACAAACTTGGTCAATATAAAACTTGTGATAAAGCATCACTAGTTAGTGTTGCATACTGTTCAAAGTTTCAGTTCCATCAGCATATAAAATGTGCATGATGGATACTCTCCTCTGCATGTTAGGGACCGTTCATAATTTATGGCTAAGGGGGGGTGATGATGATTTTAGGGGAGGGGTGTCACCTATTTTGTTCTGGGAGCTAGGGGGGTCAGCAATTTTGTACACACCTACTGTGGGGGTTGTGTGTGTCAGCAATTTTGTACATAAAAATATGTTTAAAATTATGCCTAGAAATTATGGGAAGGGGGAAGGGGGTCATTGATTTTGTACATGACATGCAAGGGGGAGTCACTTATTTTGTACATAAATTTTAGGGGGGGTCATTCACATTGTACATGCTTCTCCATAAAAATCATCACAACCACCCCTAGCCATAAATTATGAACGGTCCCTTAATGGACTGCCCCCCTTTGCATGGTAATGGACACTCTCCTTTCAATGTTAATGTTAATGGACTCTCCTTTGCATGTTAATGGACTATCAATTGCATGTTACAGAGTAATATCTGCCAACATACTAAATTTAACAAAGTTAGGTTTGAAAATATGTCTGGTGTAATCCTGTATACATAAACACTAATTACTGTGTGACCTGGCTAAATGTCGATTTGAAGTACTTGATGCTCATGGTGTCACCAACAGGTTTGCCTGGTCCAAACCTTTTCATGATACTGGGTGTGATACCTTGACTGTCATTGCCTTGGGTGTAAAATAACATGAATAACATTCATTCACACTTTTAAGGGGGACTAGAATGTGGGTCAGTGGAATCACAGCTTTGTACTCCTAACTGAAAAGCCACTTAGAAAACTTCAAGTGTCAAGTTTACTTTTTACAAAGCCATGCTGCAGTGAGTACCTAGCTTGTGTTGTGTTACATCCAGGACTTTCACTTGGATAACAAAGTATAAAGCTGAGACTCAACCTTGTCACTCAGTTTGATTCTGATAACCTGAAATGCCCTTTATAGTGAAGAGACATCAACAAACTGCTCCGGGATACGAAGTAATGATTACAAACATGCTAGTGTTAAAGACAAGACCAGCGAAGCATGCAAGATGTCTGTGGTTATTAATATGGCCGCAACCTTAACCAGGGACAATACCAGCATGAGAGGGAGGGATGTAAACACATTGTGTACTTTTCCCTCAGGCCAAGGCGATCAGGGTTCACTGATATGAGATGAGAAAATGAATTGTTGTTTGTCAATAAATAATGGCTGTGAATGTATCACCTCGGAAGAAAGAAATGAAATGGTATATGTCAAGAAGCTTCCTATTGTAAGATGGCAGGTGTTCAGATTAGTTTATCTGAATAAAATCTACCTGGTTGTGAATTGACAGTGGTTTCTTTCAAATATGAAGGTGATGTCAAGTCTAGCTGATATTAGGGTGCTTTATGAGTGCTGGTGGGTTGTTAAACACCACTTCTGAACATGATGTCAGTTGTATGGATCTGTCTTAAAAGTGGAAGTGGAAGGAAGACTCTACTGGACTTATTTGCTAATGTTTTAGTCAGAAGTGATATGCACAAATTATTATCCATTTTGTCAGCTGCATTACCATTCTCAGTGCTTTCATTGACAGAAGAACGATGCTCATGCTGTTGATCACTGGATTGTCTGGTCCAGATTTGATTATTAACAGACATTTACAGTGCTGCAGCTAGACTGCGTAATTGTTGGATTGCGCTAATTGTACTTACCTTGGCGCTTTATTTATAAATATATGTGCCAACAATGGTGCAAATTTATAAATTATAACTCATTTTTTTATATTTTCATTGAAAGCAATGTCTAACATTTGGAAATCAAAATATATTGAAACTTCCATAATTAAAAACGAGGTTTCCTAAGCTCTGCACATTGCTAGTACATTTTTTTGCATACAAAGCTGTAATACAAATTGCTGTAAGGAGCTTATTTGTTTTGTTTGTTGTTAAACGCAGCACTCAGCATTATTCCAGCTATGTGGTGGCAATCTGTAAATAATTGAGTCTGGACCAGACAATTCAGTGATCAACATCATGAGCATCGTTCTGCTCATTTGGGATGACATGTGTTGCAAGTCAGTGAGCCTGACCACCTGATCTCATCAGTTGCCTCTTACAACAAGCATGGATGCTGAAGACAAATTACCAAAGTGATGAGACATGTCAGATGTGAATCTCTGCAGGCTCCACTCACACCACATTTTATATGTCTGAAGATCTGACCAGAGTGATCTTAAATCTGGCTCATGACCTCCAGCTATGTCTGAGGAAATGGATAATTAAATGGAAACCCTCGAGGTACTGAGTTCATGTTCTCGGAGAGTGTACACTATTGCCTGCTAGTACTGACTGACTGAGTTTGGTTTTACGCCGCTTTTAGCAATATTCCAGCAACATCACGGCGGGGGACACCAGAAATGGGCTTCACACATTGTACCCATGTGGGGATTCGAACCCAGGTCTGCGGCGTGACGAGCGAATGCTTTAACCATTAGGCTACCCCACCGCCCCTTACCTGCTAGTAAGAGGGATGAAACAAGTATTGGCAAGGAAAATGACAACTGTGTTCTGGTATGGAGGATGTTGTGGTCATGAAAGTGTTCCTAACTGCTTGTCTTTATGACAACACAGCCCCAAACGCTATATATGTCCCAGGGCAAACCAGTACAATGCCATATGACTATCATAACTCCAATTCTTAAACAAAGATCAAGTAGTCAAGGAGACATAATCATATATTGTAAAGTAGACCTCACAACCTTACGACCATATTTCATTAATTATCTACAACAAAGAGAGATCCAGGATTGATTTTTAAGGATTTTTAAAGAAAGGGCAATATTTGAATATGGAAATAGTGAAATCAACACAAGGAAACCTCCTTTTAAATTAGGACTTGAAAATGCTGGAATGTGATGTTTTGCAAAATCTGTGTCATTTCATAAATTGTGATTGAATAGTAACCTGAGTGTAACTGAAAATTATACATATATATATAAATAAAATTATCCATTACACACAAGTTACTATTCAAGAAAGACAGAGAGTGGAGTTTATATCTAATAACTTTGTTTATGGTTCTACAAAACCAAAATGTGGAACAAATTATTGAGCCCACTCTGAGTCATTGAGGAGATAAATATGGAAAAGACTAATTTCATGTGTAAATCGTTAAAAAAAAGAAAATCATAAATTGTATAATGCTTTCCCTTAATATAATAAAGTCTGTCCCAAGAAAGTTGGATCAGTTGGCAATCCCAGCAAGTCAAGTTATTCAGACTTAAATTCCCTTCCTTGTAAGCACATATTTTACAATGTGCAACAATCTGATAGTCAGTGATTATCACCCTTCAAGTCCCATGCCCCAACTTGACACAAGTCACTAATCACAGAGTGTAGACTAACACTAGACCATGGCTTCAGACTGTGGAAGATAGTCCATTCTTTGTGAAAAGGACCCATGAAGATCTAGGTTAGAATTGATTACATGTGTGTCGTCAAGAGGCAACTAATGGGATCGGGGGGTCAGGCTCGTTGACTTGGTTGACACATGTCATTGTATCCCAATTGCGTAGATCGATGCAGCACTGTTGATCACTGGATTGTCTGGTCCAGACTCAATTATTAACAGACTGCCGCCATATAACTGGAATATTGCTGAGTCAGGCGTTAACCAACAAGCAACCAACCTTGTGAAAAGCAAGAACGTCATGGTAAACAAAAGACATTATTGCCTGAGAATAACAAATCTCAGTTATCTGGCAAAAAAATTACATTGTGGATAAAAGGACAGTGAAAATTCTATGAATGGATTACTGGAAGTGAGGGGGGACACAGGGGCTAGCTATTCTTGAAATGTTCATAGCCCAAAGAATTGATAACTTTGACGTAGCCAATGTTTTAAGAATGGGCTTAAAAAGTTTGTAGGGCTACGAACATTTCGCAAATAGCCAGCCAGGTGTTAATGAAACGGTAAGCATCATCCTGCAAATATAGCTACTGCTTACCTGCATAGAACTTGACCAGGTAACACAGATCATCATCTGGTCCCTCCTCCTGCACTCGTTTAATGTCCGTCAGGCCCAGACTGGAGAGGTACTCATTCTGAATTGCAAGAGGACAGTCAAACGGTTCCAGACGACGAATGATATCACCATTCTGCTGAATATGCAGAGAGTTGCTCGGTATCCCAATCTGCATGCAGATTTTCTGAGCAGTTGTCGATATTGTACAGGGAAACAATCGCGAATTCTCCTCCGAGTCTGAATTGAACACACGAATACAACCATGACTGGTATCCTTCTCTAGCCATGCCTGAATATCCACCTTGCGATGTTCCCTTCTGTCCCTTCCCCCTCCAAGACGTTCCGTCGCCTCATGTTCCCGCTTGCTGACCTCCATGTAGAGGTCGGCCAGGGAGTCGGAGAGGTCCCAGGTCTCATCATCATTGCTGCTGTTGGAGAGCGTCAGACCCACACTCTGATGGGTAAGTCCGGGTTTGAGGAACTCCCCCACGCTCCACCAGGCGTTACTGCCATGGTATTTGCTGCTGAGGGTGTCGTTGTGGAGGTAGGAGTGAGAGCCGGCTGCGCTGTTTGTGCCATTGGTGTTATCGCTCCAACCACTGTAACTTTTCATAGACATCTCTCATTGTATGATGACAACCTGAAACAAATATATTGCCATGAGAAAGTGAGTGAGTTTAGTTTTATGCTGCTTTTAGCAATATATCACATCAGGGGGCACCAGAAATGGGCTTCACACATTGTGCCCATGTGCGGAATCAAACCCAGGTGTTCGGCATGATGAGTGAACGCTTTAACCACTAGGCTACCCCACCGCCCTAATAATGCTATAAGATGGGTTTAACACTATTATCACAGTATCTGAGCCTAATCTGTTTGCCAAGTCCTAAGTGTCACAGGTCATACACATTTAAAATCTTAGCAACAGGAGAGTCATGTAGGTAATATACCAAGGATAATTACTGAGTTGGTACTATGCATGGAACCCCTTACCTGTTGATTTCTTATATATCCAAGGCAATTATCTGGTTCTTTTAAATTTCCCACCTTAGATACAAAACAGCTTAAAAGATGGTACATATGTATTATTGATTTTGTCAGTTTCCTGGCTGACTGACTGACTGAGTTTGGTTTTACGCCGCTTTTAGCAATATTCCAGCTACATCACAGCGGGGGAACACCAGAAATGGGCTTCACACATTGTACCCATGTGAGGATTCGAACCCGGGTCTTCGGCGTGACGAGCCAACGCTTTAACCACTAGGCTACCTCACCGCCCCCAGTTTCCTGGAATAATGATAAGACACCATACTAGTCCAAACACAATCGAGTAAATTACAGTTACAGTATATGACCGTAGATAAGCCGAAGTTTGAGGACCAAAAAAATAGCAATCTGTAGAAGGGTGTCGGCTTATCTTCAGCTTACAGTTTCGTCAACCTCATCCTGATAACTGATCATGATGTAAAGGTTGATGGTTCGGCTTATCTACGGAACATACCATCTTGATAATGATATTAAGGGTCTTGTTAGGACCTAGGCTTATTTATGAGATCGGCTTATCTACGGCAATTAAAGTTCACAGTCAAAGTAGTACATGTTGTGGCCCCATTCCAGAGATTGATCTTGGCACAATGACAGTTCCTGTTAAAGTATGGCAATTACAATCATCTCAATGCTATGATGTGGTATAGCATTCTCCACTTTGTGACTTGAGTTTGGACCAGTGACGTTCCAGGTTAGAATTGATCTTCAGTAACCCATGCTTGTCGTAAGAGGCGACTTACGGGATAGGTAACAGGTCAGGCTTGCTGCCTTGGTTGACACATGTCATTATACCCCAATTGAGTAGAACAATGCGATTATTTACATACCTCCATCATAGAGATGGAATATTGCTGAGTGCGGCGTTAAACAACCAACCAACCATTCAACCAAACGTAAGTTTGAAAGGACACCGAACTGATGTTAGTGCATGTGTACTGAAGATCACTGCATGGTTTACAGTTTTTGAGATGAAACTATTCATGTACATCAAGATCCTGCACCAAATATAATCTCACTAATAAAACAGAAAGTACATCTATATTTAATTTGATTAAATACTGATGACATGAATCAGAAATCGGTCAGCTAGGTATTTCCACTTCACATGTTTATTGTGCCTAATGTTCACTGTAACAATTTACTTTGTAATTGCCTGTCTTTCCCTCGCCAGGTCAAAACTGAGTGAAGGTCTCAGGGGACCAAATCCATATTTGTCATCACTTCTAGAACAAACAACTGCCACGGTATGAACAGAAGGAAGCTTTCTCTCCTGGTTGGAGACAAACATCACCATCTTCCTCTGTAGGGACATGCTTATAAACAAAGCTTGATTGCAAAATCTCACCTGCTGTGTCAGGTGAAACACAACATAAATGTCGAAGTTAATCTCCACCTGTTGTTTTTTTAAACATTAGCTTTCTCACAAAATGGACTTACACATTTGAATTTGGTATATTCCTAAAATTGTAAAATAAAAAAACTCTCTTTGATATTAAAACAGTGTACAAGAAAGCCTCATTTAACCTGATACCTGGGGTTCACCTGAGGGATACCTGTAAGTGAACACTTTAACCTCTGTAGGCTAAGCTCATTGTGTACCAAACTTCTACTTCCAGGAAGGTAAATCCTCACTTAGCTAAACTCTCCACCAGAATTACTATAGAGTAGCATCATCATGTATGTGAACTGTTCAATTTGACATCTAGGATATTCTGAAATAATAATAGGGGCGCTGGGGTAGCCTAGTGGTTAAAGCGTTGGCTCGTCACGCTGAAGACCCGGGTTCGATTCCCCACATGGGCACAATGCGTTAAGCCCATTTCTGGTGTTCCCTGCCGTGATATTGCTGGAATATTGCTAAAAGCGGCGTAAAACCAAACTCAGTCAGTCAGTGAAATAATAATAGGTTTGTTAAAAACATTTCTCAGGTTGTACATAAAAGGTAAAATCATTCACTGGACAAACATGCTATTTAGAATAGAATGTACTGTGGGTGAAAACATAACAGAATGCATTGTGTGTAAAAACATAACCGTTTTGGCTTCTCCTTCACAGAGAAAAAATGGTGTTTTGAAGCAGTGATGGAAAAATATTCATCTCACACATAATGCCAAGGCCCCCTCCTCCAAAATATAAAATGGTCAGCCACTATAGTTGCTGGAAAAGTGACCAAATGGCACAACTCATGTAGTTTTGTACTTATCTACTGGTTACTGGTTTCAATCCCAGAATCCCTCTGATAATGAACCATACATTGTAAGTCTCACCATAACTGTACTCCTACATTTCACCAAAACAATGGTGATACCTAAGATTTTCCTCCCAAGGTACCATGGCAGGATATAACTGGAATACCTCCCAAGGTACTATGGTAGGATATAACTGGAATACCTCCCAAGGTACTATGGTAGGATATAACTGGAATACCTCCCAAGGTACTATGGTAGGATATAACTGGAATACCTCCCAAGGTACTATGGTAGGATATAACTGGAATACCTCCCAAGGTACTATGGTAGGATATAACTGGAATACCTCCCAAGGTACTATGGTAGGATATAACTGGAATACCTCCCAAGGTACTATGGTAGGATATAACTGGAATACCTCCCAAGGTACTATGGCAGGATATAACTGGAATACCTCCCAAGGTACTATGGTAGGATATAACTGGAATACCTCCCAAGGTACTATGGTAGGATATAACTGGAATACCTCCCAAGGTACTATGGTAGGATATAACTTGAATACCTCTCAAGGTACTATGGCTTGATATAACTGGAATACCTCTCAAGGTAGTATGGCCTGATATAACTGGAATACCTCTCAAGGTACTATGACATGATATAACTGGAATACCTCTCAAGGTACTATGGCTTGATATAACTGGAATACCTCTCAAGGTACTATGACATGATATAACTGGAATACCTCTCAAGGTACTATGGCTTGATATAACTGGAATACCTCTCAAGGTACTATGGCTTGATATAACTGGAATACCTCTCAAGGTACTATGGCTTGATATAACTGGAATACCTCACAAGGTACTATGACATGATATAACTGGAATACCTCTCAAGGTACTATGGCTTGATATAACTGGAATACCTCTCAAGATACTATGGCTTGATATAACTGGAATACCTCTCAAGGTACTATGGCTTGATGTAACTGGAATACCTCTCAAGGTACTATGGCTTGATATAACTGGAATACCTCTCAAGGTACTATGACATGATATAACTGGAATACCTCTCAAGGTACTATGGCTTGATATAACTGGAATACCTCTCAAGGTACTATGGCTTGATATAACTGGAATACCTCTCAAGGTACTATGGCTTGATATAACTGGAATACCTCACAAGGTACTATGACATGATATAACTGGAATACCTCTCAAGGTACTATGGCTTGATATAACTGGAATACCTCTCAAGGTACTATGGCTTGATATAACTGGAATACCTCTCAAGGCACTATGGCTTGATATAACTGGAATACCTCTCAAGGTAGTATGGCCTGATATAACAGGAGTTCTGTTCAAAGTGGTGGTACACTGGAAAATATACATTTTGTACACATTGATAGGCATAGAAGTCCATGATTTATTCAAGAGTTCACACACCCCATTAAGTCTACCCGTTCACCAACCACATACAATCCACCCTTTGTACCCCTTCAATATATTCCTGATGAAACCAAGAGTCTACAGAGATATCTCCTTTGAAACAGACATAACATTATCCTAGGCCAGGCTGGGTCATGCTTTCAACACAGAATAAAGGACATCAGAGATGGGTTTGCATAATGTGATGGCTCAAGTTTTCTATTTCACAGGAAGTTTTGACAAGTTGTTTGCCCCAGAGATTAACTGACCGTGCTGGACTTGACTCTAAATAAATCGCTATCGCTGAACATAATGTGGGTCAGTTGGATAAATAAATATTCATACATCGTTGATTTTTGTCACACTTGTAGCATTTCAGTAGTCACTGAACGCAATGTGTGTCAGACAGATAAATAAATATTCATAAGTGTTGATTTTTCTCACACTTGTAGTATTTTAAGAAATTGATTGTTTTATTTTTCATCAACATTTCCAGAAGGAGGGGCCGGCATAGCTGGGTTTAAGAGTTCGCTCATCAAAGACCCTGGTTGGATTCCGCACTCAGAGACAACTTGAGAAAACCATTTCTACTTGATAATGCAGGCATGTTGCTACAAGTGTCATAAAACCATACTCAATCACTCCACTGCCTCCGTGGTGTAGTGGTTAGAGCGTCCCCCCTGGAGAGCGGAAGGTCGCGGGTTCGATCCCCGACCGCGTCATACCAAAACACGTTAAAATATGGTACTTGTTGGTCCCTGCCTGGCGCTCGGCATTAATGGGTACAACAAGGACTGGTCAGCTCGGAGTCAGTATAATGTGTCTGAGTGGGGTATTCATGCTTCACTGCGGCATGGTATCTCAGTGGGCTTACTCTATAAAACCAGCTAAAGTCTGGGCTAGTACAAGCAGCCGCACATACACATACACACGCATGCACGTCGTCATATGAGCGAAATATTCTCAAGCACGACGTTAAA